CTCCTTCCCCTGGGGGGCAGTTTCCATCCGTTCTACCCCACCCTGGCGCCCTGCAGGGGGGGAATTGTGACCCAAATGCCCCCCCTGGGGTGGTACCTTCTCAGGGAGCTGAGCTTCCACCTCCTTCTTCAGCCTCCTGAGGAGGAAGGGGCGCAGCACCTTGTGCAGGCGCCGGATGATCAGGATGGTCTCCTCTTCATTCAGGTCCACCTGCAGTGCCAGGAGAAGGAGGGGGTGACCTTGGGGACACCCTGAGGACCCCCCAAACTCCTCCTAGGGGGCAACTACCACGAGTGGAGGTTTCTGGGGTGATAATTTTGAAGTTGGGGGTGGTGTTTGTGGGTAGAAAACGTGGGCTGGGCTCCAATCACCCTCCCCCTGTTTGCCCAAGGGGCCACAAGTGGTGCCAACACCACACCCCTGGTTGAGGAGCCCCAGGAGAACCCAACCAACTTCTCCTACCCCCACCCAGATGCCTCAACAAGGGGAAAAAAACCACTCAGGACCCCCAAATCTTCCAAACCCCACCCCAGAGCCACAGGACGTTCCTCCCCCCCACCTTGTAGGAGTGGGAATGATTTTTGGGGGGGGTTTTTTGGCACCTTCTCGCCCGTCATGGCGAAGGGAGCGTTGAACCACTGCTCAAAGGTGCTGCAGCTCTTGAAGATGGTGGGCAGGAGGAAGTTGAGGAGGGCCCAGAGCTCGGGGAGCTTGTTCTGCAAGGGGGTCCCCGTCAGGAGGAGGCGTCGGGGGGCCACGTAGTGGGTGTTGAGGACCTGGGTGAGCTTGCAGTGGTGGTTCTTCATCCTGTGGCCTTCGTCCACGATCATGTACTTCCAACGGATCTTGGAGGGGGATGGAGAAGGGGGGGAGGGGGTGGAGAAGACCCTCCTGATAGCAGAGCCCACCAGGGAGGGAGGAGTTCCTCGTGGAATCCCTTCAGGGGCTCCCCACTGGGAGAAATTTGTGGGTCTGCTCATAGGGATGGAGCTCGAGGGGCTAAGCTCACAGAGCTTGACACTAGGTTTGGGGAATTTTAGTGGGTTTTGAGGTTTTTGGGGCCTTTCAAAGCCTGGCTGAGGGCAGACCCAGCAGCTCTCACAGCCTGGGCAGACCCAATTCTCCAGAACCAATCCTGAGTGAGATCAAACCCCTCAACCCCACAAGAGTTTTGACTTTGGAGCTTTCCAACCAGCTCAATCTTCCCAACCCTCCAACCTTTCCCCTTCTCCCTGTGGCAGGCAGCTAACAAACCCCTCCAGGAGGGCAGAGAAGAAATATTCACCCTTCTATGGATGGATTTATGAAGAGGAGAGAGAAGATTTGCTGCAGTGGCAGGATGTGGGGGTAAAAAAACACCCAAAGCTTCTCCCAACAGCTCTTGGCTGCGTCCCCACAGCTCTCATGAGGTTCCACAGCCAAATTTCTCCCTCCAGAGAGGCTGTTTCTGCCAGGGAGGGGCTCAGGGGGGTGAGGATGAAGAGGAGCAGGACTCACCTTGGCCAGGATGTGTTTGTCTTTGATGATGTATTCATAGGTGGTCAGCAGGACGTTGAATTTCCCACTTCGGAGCTGAGGGACGAACGCTCGTCTGGCTGCTGGGGAGCCCTGGGAGGGGAGGGGGAGGGGGGGAAGAGTTTTCCAGAGAATT